ATATCCCTTAATATGTCCCCCCCAAGACCCCACATAGTCCCCTATAGGTCCCCCCAACCTAAATTTAGTCCGTAGCTCATGTGAACCTGAGAATAAAGTCATTTCAAAGACCCCCCCCCCAAATCCCACCTCGGCAATGGCGGAACCGAGAAGGTCCCCGGCCTTTCAAGAATGGTTGTGGGGTACTGAAACGTGGGGCGGCTGCATGTCGAAAGTCTTCAACATTTCATGACCCCCCCATGTGGTGCCCTTCGTGGCAAAACCGGCCGCAAACTATATGTCAAGGCGTTTAAGCAGGTAGGCAAATACTGGAGCTTCTCAACGTAAATGTCTGGAATTCTGGACGAATAGGCTCGCCTTGCCTTTGGTCTTGTAACACTACGCTGTAACCTGGTGAGCCCACAGCCGTGAACGAATTGCCTCGGGTGCATCAGCGCTGAATCCGCCCTTCACCTCAGGTTGCCAAGGCATTGTGCATGGGTTGCTGAATTTTGAGAACTGACAAAACGACCTGTAAGACTAGAAGAACAAGCAAGAGGAAGGAATTGAACTGTAGCAATACAACTAAAGGAATGATGCGGATAAGAACAGCATCAGTAGAAACTGCATGATCACTAGAAGAATCACCATAGCTGTTATGATGCTGAGTTTCCACAATTATACTGTTTATGGAAGAAACCCTGCAACATCCAACGTACCCCACGCCCAGGAACTACACCCTTCCAGGATTTTTTGGGACCCCAATCGGGCTATAGTCAAAACTCCTAGTCTCTGCCTTAGTAATCCCCATAATACTCCCCTACATACTGCCCTATAAAACCCGGTACATAACCCCTTTTACGGAGTTTAGACTATAATGCAAACTGTGCAGGATCTCCTCAGTGAACAATAACTTGCCCAGGTCCTCAGTCCTCGCTGGTTGGGCTCCCGTAAGAAATACTGATATAGGATTTAGGGTTTAGGGTCTTAGGAACGGCTTGGCAATGCCTAAGACTAAAGAAGAACAAGGGCTCAAAAAACAATTGGAAATACGGTTGTCAGAACAATGCTAAAAGAACAATGACCAAAACAATAAGACTAGTAATGGTTATTTGACACGCATACCGTTCAGAATATAAGCCACAGAGGGGACTGACTGATATACTCCTCACTGTTGCGTCAACGTGAGTTGTACGCATAATCCTGTATAGCCTTCCCAGAGACCTATAGTTTGGCAACGGCTGCTGCTAGACCCGACAAACCCTGAACCCTGGTGGCTGCCCAGGTGCCCTCTCCACTGCGCTGGAGAGGCGTGCTTCCGCTCGTAGAGCCACGTTGTCCTCGTGCAGGTGATCTTTCTCCCGCTCTTCTTATCTTTAATTTGTGCTCTTATCTACGAATGCGTGGATGTGAAGATGCACGCCAACAGTGAAGTTCGAAATTGGGTGTCTGGGGTGCAGGTTTTGGGCCTTTCTCTTTTGCTTTTTCCTGCAACTCCGTTGAGGACTTGTGTTACTAGTATAAAGGCTATCGTTCTCATACTCAGGACAGTTCTTGCCGTATCAGCCGGTGCTGTTTTTAGTTCCTATGGCTGCACAAATGATGGCTTGCTCGCGATTCTTGGAATTGGCAGACCCGGTCGTTAGGGTTGAACCTCAAATTCTTGGGTGACATTTCTAAGGACCGTACCTGTGGGCTTAGTCTAAGTTTCTAAGTCTTAGGGCTCTGATGCTGATGAAATCATGGAGGTTTGCTCAGGAAAGTCGTGTTGCTTAGAAACTGTGTCCTGAACATTTGCAACTCTAAGACCTGAAGCTTGAAGCAAGAACTTCCAAAAATAAACTTGACAAGTTGAGGCCATAAGCACTCACAGCAAGAATAGATGTTTACTACTACAGACCACAGCCCAGGCAAAGGTATCGCTGGTCCGAACGTAGTTTGTGCATCAAGCTCAAAAGCACGGAGATCTTTCTCTACGCAGGTGCTAATTCGTGCGAGCGTCATGCGTGCGCATAATTTCCAAAAAGCTTCAACCCCAAATCGTCAAGTCTCATGGCTGAACCCTAAACACTCAACCTTGTCTGGGTGTAACCCTGTCCTGCTCCCACTGTCGAAGCAAGCCCCATGCCTGGACAACAGGATTGCAAGGGTCACGGGTCAAGACATAAGGGTTCGGGTTCGAGGGTTTCGGGCCCAAGGTTCTCAGAGATGCATGGGAGTTTTGTTATAATTGCGCAAGGCACTGAGAATTCCCACACCTACTTACACTGAAACTCCTGACTTGATTGCTGCATGCTCTTTCGTAGAATAACTCCGCCCATCCTGCATACTTCTCCCTTGCTCCTAGGCACCTCGACCACCAAAGGGTTTTCCGGAGGCAGCCCCGAGCCCGCGATTGCGATTCCTCACCAATTTCAATTATTTGTCTGGTGGGGGGCGGGTGGTGGTGCTTGTGGTTCTGGTGGTGGTTCTATATCATAGATGCAATAAAAAGGGCAACATAAAAACAGCATTACAATAGCAGTGATCCTGATTGCCTAACAACGCATTCTGCTCACAAGATCCATTTACGCTTCTTGCCTTCAATAGCTCAAGGTGCAAAGCTTCTTGCTGGCTGAAAACCTGGCCCAAGTACGGGTACTTTAGCAGTGACTATTTACTTTTTGCAAGGATGATACAGGTAACAAGAAACATAATCTTCTTGATAATGACAGCATCAAGAAATTGCCGCCAAGATTCGCATGCGCTGCTGCTCAGGTGCACCTGTCGCGCAGGAACGTCATACTGATGACTGAAACATCTCGAAAGCAGTGCAGCTCATCACCTCTGCTAACTCTGCATTGAGGAGTTCGCCTAAAATCACCTTCAGAATCCTAGAGCAGTTAAAGGGCTGTTGGAGATTCTGGGAACCATGGCAGCAAACGGCTCAGAACCTTCTGTTGGCTTGATGCATGGAATCTGGCAAACAACCCGCAGCAGTCGCATCATCGTCACTAATCTGACTGTCTTACGGCTCCTAAACAAAACCATGATGATGGAAACCCAGCCACAAACGGCGACGACAACAGTCATACAACCACTACTGAAATCTGGAGGTGATCGTCATGCCAACTGTTCCCTCGTAGACCCTAAACACCAAGCATAAACCACATACTCCTGGAACCCTATCTGCGGCCGATGGAGGAAATTCTGCAACGTTGGCTCTCGAATATTCTTGAGTTGCAGAGCCTGCCCCCGGCTTCTTGCGCTCGTCCACGTGTTTGCGGAGCTCCTGTCTTCTGACCCGGAGGTTTTGAAGCTAATAGAGGGTTCCTCGTCTGACCTAGATGGAAACCTCTCAAGACGGGGTATCTCTGGGGTCCTGGCATTCTAGGGGTCCTCATCTACAGCTAAATGCCGATTCTGAGAATCATGCATACATATTCTGCATTATCAAGCCTTGTAACATCTGAAACCCGAGAACCGCGATTTAGGTGACTGGATGGCCAGGGCTTTCAGATTCGAGTATCTCTCTCAGTCTAGAGAGCTTTGTTAGGACTAGAGCGTGATATTTGGGATGGAAAAAGACTTTGGCTGGCAAAGATCGTAAACGTAAGGGGTATCTGAAATTGAGGACTCTTTTTCTTGGGAAGCATGTCGAGGTTGTAGATGCATTGTGGCATGACTCTAACTCGTGCAGAGCCACAAAAAGATCCTTCAGGGATCAATTTATCCTGCTGGCAGGCTTTCCTGGGTTGCTGTTACGGAACTTAATCTAAGTTACTATATTTGGGGCAGCCCTATTCTTTACAATCTATACCCAGTACAGTAGCTTGACTTAAGTTCATTAACAGCAACCCAGTTTAGGGGTATGGCTTGAAGCCTCTAAACCAGAAATTGTTGGACATCTTGATTGGTCTCAAAAAATTATGAGACATGTATGGAGAGACCTACACGGAGAAATGGGCATTTGCGATACAGTTTGAAGCCTGGTCAGTCTGTTGGGTTGCGTACTGTCGCAACTTCAAGGGAACATTCAACATCTTGGAAGGTGCCTTGTAAACAACATTAGCTATCATCTGCATCACATCTTAATGTGCCTAGATTAGGGGCGATCGGATGGCACTGTGCGCACTACAGCGCATGGTCCCATCTGTCGCCGCTTCACGGTCCTTGACAGCTTGGAACAGCTCGTCGTGCAAGGCGATCTTGTAGTGGTTGGCTCGCCAATTGGCAGCCTTGGCAAAGCGATTTCAACGGCCAGGCATCTACGTTTTTTGTTAGGCAACTCTGGTCTCTATTTGCAGGAGGATGTTGCTGCCATTTGCAGTTTCGAGGGTCTCAGAAAAAGCCGGGGCTGCGTAGAGTTGTACGATCAGAGTGCTTTTTTGTTGTCCTGCACAGATCACTAGAGACGTGCCTCCTGAAGCTAGCTGCCTAGCAGGACGCTCATCAGAATAGCTTGGGTTGCTGTTAAGGAAGTTGAATTAAGCTACTATGTTGGGAAACCCTATTATTTGCTATATTCAACCATTACGGTAACTTAATTTAAGGTCCTCAAAAGCAACTCAGAACAGCAGCTGCCTACCGCTCGCTGAAAAAGGCCATCCGACCAGGCCGACGCATTGACTCACTGGACATGCTCCAATGTCGTCCGTCTTCTTAAGTGGAGCCAGCCTTCTCTTACAATACTGCCTGAGAATCTTTCGGTGTTCTCTCGCAAAATAAGACACATTTTGCTTCTCGTGAAGAAGCTCAAGTGTTGCGCTCCCAAAAGTTGCCCCCTCGCAGGTCTCCTCCTCAGGTCCTGGCGATCTCACGCCCCGCATGGATGACTTCGTTCTTCACCCCGCAAGCCTGCAGTACACACTCACGGTAAAATGACAGCACTTCTCGCGCGTTTTTTAGCGACAACCAGAACTAAACCTAGATACATAACCTATTGGGTTTTAGTGGGGAACACGGGAATATGTCAAGTAGGGATTATATAGAGATTCTCACCATGAAGTGCAACCTGCTGAACGCTCACCCCTCCACTGCGCCTCGCCGGCGGATAGGGCTTCATCCAAGGCCACGTCATCCTGGACATCTGCTTTGCGGAAGGTAGCGAAACAAAGATTTTGGGATCCCTTTTCTAATTACAGTAGCCAATAACCAACAGAGAAATCAAGTACAGTATAAACCTGAAGTACCAGCCTTATTGCTGAATGTCCAAAACCTTTCATGAGACACTCGTGTGAGACGAGCAAAGGCGGGTCAATCCTCCCTTTCATCCTTCATGGCCGCTCGAATGCCTGGGTGACTTCAGGGTGAAGTGCTAGTTTCCCAAATAGGGGGGCCCTAATTTAGGGTGTACGGTTTAGGGAACTTAAATGGTATTTGGAAACCCCAGTTTGGGGAGGGAGTTGTGGTTAGGGTTGATTAGGCGTTCTGGATGAGGACGTACGTGCATGACTTGGGGCTGAAAGATCTTCTCCTTGCAGGTTATACAGGGTTTAAAGTCCCCTTGAGTAGATAGAATATGGAGTATATTATTGTCGGGGTTATGTAGGGATAATGCACCCACTGTGTTAACCAAAGCTCTCAAGGGCTGCCTTGGAACGAATGTGGAATTATCGTGCCTGCAGATATAGATACGGTGAGTTCCCAAAATTAGGGTCCCATCTTGGTACCCCTACATATTAAGTGCCGTAATATAATCTCTCACCAAAAGTGGCTCATATTTTTGAGAACCACCCATATGTAGATGCGTACTGCGCGCATACACGGCAAGTTGTGGTATATGGAAAACATGGAGTGGAGTGACAGCCTGTTCTGGGACAAGCTTCATGTTCACACATGTGCTCATCTATCTGCCTCATTGGTTTAGCAAGGACATGTGTGGACTTCTGTGCCGTGACCCTGGATGGCGGCCATCCCCGTAAATGGAAGCCTTAACTCATAGTCTGAAGCCTCACCAAATACTGTAGATGCCGAGACAGAACAGTCTGGCGTCAGCTTCAATCACCCAGAGCTTCTAGGCTCCAAGCCATCTAGGTGAATCGAATCCTTCATTTCTAGCCGCTCCTACTATCTTTGCTCCAACTGCTGCTAATATTGCTTCAATTTCGTGGTCGGTACCAGATGGTTGCTCCTAGGACTCTGGCGCTTCTCCGCGGCGAAACGAAGGTTGGACTGGTGCAGCCTTTCCCAGACCTCGCTGCACGAAATATGCAGCGGTTGCAGTCGCGGTAGTGGAGCTGGTTGGGGTACTAGTGGCCATTGTGACAACCGTTGCCCAATGTCGCACCGAGGCATGCAAGCAGCGGTATGGTGTCTTGGTGTGTGGGCTTTCAAAACATACTTTCAATGTACTACAAGTCCTAGGCATTTGGATGATTCTACCCCGGTGACTTGATTGTCACTGCACATGCTTGAAGCTTGATACAACTCCAACAATGAATCAACGTCTCATCGATCTCTATATCTGGGTATGATTCAATATCTAAAGCTAACCCCCTCCAGTGGGACGCCTTGGGATGGATACTTCAGCTGAGGACTCAGACCATGGATCCTTCCTCGATCAAGATTGCCATCTCAGAGCGGAAGGCCTGGCTATTTTTTTTTTCCGGAAAAATTGGGGACTCGGGTTCCAGGATCAGGGCTTATGTTTAAGGTTTAGGGAGTAGGGCTTAGGGATTAGGGTTTAAAGACAAAGAGCAATTCTGTTGAAGGGCTCCCTGTGTCATACGTCCCCCTTCCCGTATGGCCGAACTCAGCATCCCAGCAATACCACCGCCACCTACTGTCCTTGTGTGCATTTGCTAACGCAGAGTCCCCAGTATATATCCAGAAATACCATATTCCTGAGCCCTAAGTTTTGCAAGCACCCGCATGAATACAACAAGGATCACAAGGGCTAGTCGTCCCGGTAGCAGCAGGGCTGGTTGGCAAAGGCAATCATCATGTGAGAAAAAGGATAAGTCCCCAGCAAGCCGTGAATAAACCTTAAACCCTAAAACCCTAAACCCCCAAACCCTAAAACCCTAAGAATGATAATCCTGTCCCTTTTTTTCAGCTTTGGCGCGGCAGACCAAAATTCGGAGGTGGTCATCAAGGAGTTTCCCAAAAGTAGGGGTACCATATTGGGGGTCCCTGTAATAAGGACTATAGTATATTAGGGTCTATGTTGGGGTCCCCTTATTTTGGAGAAACTACCATAAAAGGGTCTTACAGCCAAATCCTGAAAGCGCTGTCGCATTAGCCCTCAATGAATCCTTGGGTTTCAAAGCCCAAGTGGCACTTCCTAGCTATCATTGATTTTATTCTTATCATTATTCGTATTTTCATGCTTAACTACTCTTATCTAGACTACTTTTTCTCACTATTACTGTTATTATCATTTTTGTTACTGTTCTTGTTATTCTTGTTTCTTGTTATTGTTCTTCTTAGAATTTCTAATCTTATAACTATCATGATTATTTCTATTCTTATCTTTATTACTTCTGCCCTGGTGCAGACTTGCCTCACATTCTTCCAGCTGCACTGCCAAGGGCCCGAGATCGTACGGTGGATCCTGCAACACGCCCTAAATCATAAGCCCTGAGCCCTAAACCCTGTTGCAAGACTTGGAGATCCGAATGAAGAGAGAGTGGCTTTGTCAAAATAAAGGTCCAGGGTTTGGTGTGTAGGATGCCCTTTCTGGGTGTGAGGGGAGACCTTCAAAGTGGACTGGAAGCTGTAGGTATAACTTGATAGATATTTCTCGCTTCCGCCAGTGACTTGTCTCAAGTCAGAACCTCCAGCGCTGCGGTAGTGCTGGCGTCCCATCCAGAAGAAACAGCTCTGCTGCGTCAGACAGAGCTCATGGCATGTTGGGTCTGACACCCCAATCCTGTCCTTTGGCTCTTATGTGCGACTGCCCCTTCGCGTCCTGGATGCCAAAATCGCTGAACTCCCCGTTCTCGTCCTGATATTTGGCCTCCCAAAGATTGCACGGGGAACGCAGCGAGCAACAAGAGCGACTTCCCACCATTGCATTGACCTGCTGCCTAAGTGGGGGCGGTCGAGCCCTGATGGACCAAGATGATGCCCACGCGCCTCCTGCTGCAGCATGAATGTCAACACCTCAGTGATTCAGTAAGAGGAGGTAGCAGCGACTGCATGAACTTTTGAGTGCTGATTCTGTTGATGTCGAGCGGCTGATGGTTAAGTCATTTTTTTCTTCACCCTTGCTTCTGCTGCTGCTGCTGCTGCTGCTGCACACATGAACTATGACGACCCGCTAATTGCGCTACTCCTCATTGTATGTAGCCGTGGCATGGGCTCCTGGCAAACTGGGTTGCTTTTAAGGAACTTCATGCAAGTTACTATATTGGAGAAACCATATTAATTACTATATCTAACCGCTATGATAACCCTAAACCCTAAACCCTATATACCCATTATGGTAACTTAATTTAAACTACTTAGCAGCAACCCAGGGCTCATGGCAAAGCCCGGGGCTCTGGCGGCCTGGAGCTCTTCGCGCGCATCGGCGCAAGCGCGCCACCATCGCCATAGCTCCTCCAACCCCCCGTATATAATACCATAATATGTACTATAAAATACCGTAAAATACTATATATATAGCAATTACCATAGTATAATATATGATATTATAATATCCTCAGACTATTCAGGGTTTGAATGTCTGGCGCATCATACCAACCCGGGGAAGACATCCGGCATCACCGTGAAAAGCAAGAAGACTGGGAGGTACAGTAGTTTCGTAGTCGCGGCAGCTAAAGACTGTCCCATGCTGAGAGGTCTGAGTTGTGATGAAGGCTTCTTTCATCGATTTGTCTTGTGATCTGTGTTGTAAAGTCTTTACGAATTTATCTGCCCATCTCAGTCCTTGCAAGACGTGTTGCAAGACCTTTGCCTTCGATGCTTGACTAAGTATCTGTATCCTTCATGATGGAAGAAGTCTGTCTTACTCATCCATTAGCTCCTGTTGGCAGCTTTGGTCCCAATATTCTTGCAATGGTCCAATTTTGTATCGCCTCATATCCAACTTGACACGCTCCAGCCCCTACGAACTCTATTCCCAAGAAAGGAAGAGGAGGATCGCACGGGAAATAACCACCCCCCCTGATTCCGGATCCTGCAGTCCACGCGCTTTGTCGAGGAGTTCTTGGCCAGCCATAGATTGCCTCACCACCTTCGAGGAATGCCTGGGCAAAGCCATTCTGTCCACACATCTGGGCTTGTTTTGATCAAAAAGGGAAGGTGCCAACACAAGCATAATCCAGAAGGTGAGAGCAGCAACTATTGCAATGGAAAGTATGAGCTGCTGGTTTGTGTAGAGTTCAACAGTGCTATGCCATGTATTGTCAGCGTCTTCCTCGAAAATCAGTCGCGGATTTCAGTGGCATGGAGGAAGCATGAAAGAGAGCTTTCGAACGGTGAGCAGGGATTCGGGAAGAGGCGTGGTGGTTTTGGAATCTATGTATGTCATTTTGGGTACCTGCTATAGCGCACTGAAAGAAAATTGAGGTTCTGTTGCTGCGCAGGTGCCCCTGTAAAGAGTGATTTCTCTTCTCATGCTACACGAGACCTGTTGTGCACAGTAGCAACCATCTGATAGTGGTGGTGGTGGAGGAGTGCTGATGAGAGCACGAATGGTGATCATGGTGCACATGCGCTTGGTCTGGAAGTTACCTGAGGCCCGCGCACAAAGTTGTCAATTGCCTGATCTGCTGGGATCTGCAACTGTACATAACTACCGATAGGGCTTCAAGACTTTTAGGCTACAACCACTTGTGGAGTCAACGGCTCGTAAACGCCACATGCTTCCTGCCGAATGCCTACTTACACAGAACACTCGAAGTCAATCAAGAGAGACAGAGCAATGTTTGTAGAGCATCATAATGGCCGCGGCACCACCTTGAAGGTTGAAGGGGACTTTTCTTTTTTAATTAGAGCTCAAATACCTTCCGCATCCCACAACATTCCTTGACTCTGCATGACTAGTCCTTCCACGAGCACCTACACACTGGGTACCTCACCCTTGCAAGTAAATGACCAAGTTGAAAACCCAGCAATGTCCAAGAAAGCCCAACGTACTAAGAAACGTCTAGAGTCTACAGCCAAACCCAAGCCTTCAACCGTCCAGAATGATGATGACAGCTATGCTGCATATCAGCACGGGCAAAGCTTGTGGCAGCAAGAACGATGAAAGCAGCAGCAAGATCAGCATGAACATCCATGAACATCAAGGAGGGTTGAATCTAGAGCCCAAACCATGTGAGCTACAGTCCAGACTCCTCGTATCCCCCTTACTGATTCCTACGGTACTCCTCAATATAACCCCTCTACATTAAACCACCTTCCAGGAGTTTAGACTACGGCTCATGTTACCGGAAACCTGGAAACCTGGATTGTGACTACCTAAGAGCTGGGCTCTGGCAAGCTGGTCTTCATCCATTGCCGCATCTGCAAGTGCCTTACAAGGGTTTAGGGATTAGGGACTAGGGTTTGGGGCTTAGGGTCTGGGGGCAGAAGCAAAGCATCCAGCTGTCTTGTCATTGTTTCTGCTCTTGACTACTTCTATAGGCACTGCCGCTTGTACGCTTACATCAGAATGAAAAAGTTCTTACAAATTCCTGTAATGGCTGCTGGCATCCAAAGTTCCTTCGAACTGTCAAATGAACGACGTATTTCAAGTGTTTGCGGCACCCCCCGGAAAGTAATACTTGCTGGCCTTCTTAGTCTCAGCTTGTGACGGAAGACTCTTCCACTTGCTGCAGTGAATTGGATCCCCAAAAATTCAGTATAGAGATGGTCGAAATTCTTTGCACATTCCTCAACCCTGAATCCTACTCCCTAAAGCCTTAGCCCCAAACCCTTTGGAGGCTTTGGGCCTGCATAAAACCGACAACCCAAGCTGAAAACCTGCATCCCGTATGGTCACTGCCTTGCGCAGCTCAATGAGGGCAATCCTGGGAAGTGGGAAGTTTGGTGTTGAGGTTTTAGGAGTGCTTGTTTGTTGGGTTGTAGGTCGGTCGTAGGATGTTGGGGCGTCAGAATTAGCACTCGACCTCCTTTGCGAAAAAAATACACATCCTAAACCTCCTGACATGAGCTAGAATCGAAACTCCTAGTATCCCCCTTGGCAACCCATATAATACCCCCGTGTGTAACCCCCCTTTAAGGACTTTAGACTATAACTCACATGGTTTTAAACAGAATCCAGAGCTTGGTCGAAATCAGATTGATCATCATAGAAGAGTCTGTATTTCAAGGACCACCAAACTGGAAAATCAAGCTCAAGCCTTCCCTAGTTTGCCGAATCATCCCTTTCAAAGCCCGAAGTTCAAGCATTTCAATCATGAACTCCACACCTGCATCCAATACCATAAACCCTAAACCCTCACATCTAGAGACCAAGCCCTCTGAGTGCCCCGCTCGTCACTGGTTGTGGGCATGTCTTCGGGAACGACGGAATCCCTGGCATGGAGTCAAAACAAAAACCATGAAGGCGGAGCCTTCTCCCTATGTTGCTAAAGCACGCCATATACCCTTACTTCCCCACAAAAAGGAAATTAAAGCTGCAGAACGTAGACAGACCCAACGAAAGCATGAAGTCATACCACAGATTTGTTTCGTCATGAGGATAGACACCCTACCATTGATTTTGCTGCTGCTCTACCTTCATCTCCTGTGGGATTTTGAAGGAACATGTGATCGAGGCAAAGGACCCGACAAAGAAAGGCGTTAAGCAAGGTTTTGTTGACTTGAAAAGCCCTAGGCCTACGCAACGCTCCAGAAGCAAGGAATCATCTATCCATCATTGCGATGCAAGACACTCTGCAGGTTCTCCAGCGATCAGCCAGGATCTGGGTTCATCAGAATTTGGGGAACTTTGATGCTGATTTTATTGAAGAGCCAGAAGGCGTGACACAAACAGTGATGATCCAAATAGGACGATGCTGCCTCTGACTTGTTGCTATACCAGGGCCCCGCATGCGACACGCCAAACAATCCATACATAATCCCTAGCGGCAAGAAAACTGGTTCAGCTTCTGCACCAATCCTAAATCTTGTCACCCCAGAACTCCTACATCCTGAACACCAAACCACTGGGCATCCGCCTTTGCATGGAGACGATGTCCACTGAGGTAGAACCCTCGCCCGCGCTGAGGTTGGGGTCTGCCTTGCTCGGCTACTTGAAGCTTAAGTAGGGTTGAGAATCTGGGGTGCAGGGTTTCGACCAAAGGTTCAAGGTCTAAATTGAGAATAGATGCAACAAAGTAAGTAAAATCGAGTGCTGGAGACCTGGCCAACACTAGCGAAGCCGATGTATGGAAACGCATGACAGTTACAACCCAAACCTAAGGACCTATGTCAACAATGAAATTCCTGGTGATCAGGCGGGGCTTAAGCAGAAACATGGACTGGATTCCGATATCCTTTCCTCGCTCCCAACTACTCACCTGGGAATTTAATCTAAAGCACATCCGGCCAAAAGGGAGTCTGACTCTAGGCTCCACGCCAGCAGGACAGAGTCTATCCGACAGTCCAAGAGAATCCGACGATCTGCTTCCTTGCGGTTTTATAGTGTGCTTACGGGTTAAAGGTTTAAGGACATCTACCTGTATTAATCTGGAAAGGGCAACATAATGCTCGTCCAGGGATGGCAAATAAGTTCTGTGGGGATTTTACAAGCACTCAAAAAAGACTAGCCGCAATAATCTCAGCTCCGTGAACAGAGTTTGTACTTGCCTATAGCTGATTGCGAGTTATGCATGGCTGAACGTAACCAGATGAACGTACGACGGGTATGGGGATGATCTAGAGGGATTCTGATTGGTGGCTTTCATCCTCAACTGAGCAGATACTTGTGTGTTCTGGCACATACGAGGATCAAGACTTCTCAGACGTGGATATGTTTCGGGCAGAGTTCACGATGTTTCGGCAAATAGATCTTTACAAAAGGGGAAAAGCCAACACTCACCCGCTGCCTGTTTTCTAGACAAGGGGGCATCCAGAATTCCTGAATGTAGATGCCTTAGTATTTACCAACATCATGGTCTCACATTTCTTGTGTTAGTATAGGTTAGGATGCCGCAAAACAGACCACACAATGCTATTGATCATGATTCAGGCCCCTACAATAAACGTGTATCTCCTCAGCATTGGGAATTTGGAAGCGGAGTCCTGCACCAAGCCCTCATTCACCATCACAATGGCGTTATCCGAGAGCATCTGGCGCAGTGGGGTTCTCACCACCACGTGTTTCATGATGATGCTAAGCTACTAGAATACCATAGTTGCCAGGGTATAAGGTGCTCAGGGCCATGTAGGATTTCCAGCATGCACCGCAATTTGGGCTTTGTCGCCACAATTTGAGACATCAGGTTCCAAGCCCAGGCCCTAGTTGCGGTAACATGCTTGAAGAAGGCCCACCTCTCTTCATGTTGCAGGTGTCCTAATTGGTTCTGGCAAGCTCCAGGCCCCTCAAGTAAGCACAGCCCATGCAGGAAGTAACTTTGAGGGGTACTACTTCTCCATGCGGAGATGTTGCCGCACCAACCTCGGAGAAGATGTCCAACGCCTGCTGAAGCTCATCGCCATCCTGGACGACGCTTGAAGAAGGCCATGCTCATGGCACGAACTGCACATGATAGGATCCGAATCTTCGAGGCCTCATGATAAGACACACTATAGACATTATGCTGAGCTGAGAATAAAAGTCTTAACACAAGAAGGCTTGAATTCGCGAGTTAGAGGCCATAACAGACCGGCAGGCATGTGCCCAATTCTGCAGAGACCTCAGTGCTCACTTACTACTGAACATGAAGAGCAGGCCCCCGACAAGTGTCAGCTCTTTCTTTCAAAGCAGTTGTTCGTAAAAGCCGAAAAGCCACCAAAATACTTGCGCCGATCGTCAAAACCACCCATGATTTTGCCATAGCCTCCCCGACATCAAGCTCTTCATTTTGAAAGCCCAAAGTGTTCAGCTTTTGCAAAAGCTAACATCATCACTCTGACTTCCATTACTCAACACCTCCATGACCGTTTCTGCGGGTGTTCCTGATACTAGTGAAGCAGCAACTGATCATCCACAGTTTTTGCTACTGTAGCCACTCCTGCTACTCTCATATCTCACATCGAGAAGCCCTGAGGCAGCTGTTTCTGAACATCATAAGTATTTGGGGGGGTCTTTGTTCTATACTGTTTTGGTTATTGGTGCCCCTGATCTGCACACGCATTATGGCAGCTGAAGGGATACCCACTCTTGGGAAAGACTCAGTTGCGGTCCCGCTCCACCATCCGAGCACAAAGAGTGCCCTCAGCTTGGCTGTAGAGCACGTGCCAATCAAACTCCTGCTCAGCTGCAGGAGTTAGCTGGCATGAGGGTGACTTAGTCTGGCTTGCTGTTAAGGACTGTAAATGAATTATGATTATGAGGAAGCCATATCCTTCACTTTATGCGCAGATTATGTTAAAAATCTAGAACCATATCAGCGACCCAGTGGTATGGTCAAGTGCCCTATATCCTCTATAGTTCTTAGACTCATGTCGATTATCGCCTTCTAAGCCTACCTACCAAGTCTTGCTCCTAAACCTTCAAGCAATGTGACAACCGCTTTTCAAGCTACTCACCCTCAACATTTCGGAAACGAACATGCCGAAAAAACCGAGAGACACTTACTGACGTGGTTTTGGAGCTCTAGAAGGTCTTCGAAAGCTGGTCCGTGGTCTACCGCAGGGTAGCTGCATGTCCATGGCTTTCATCAACGAATCGCAGGATAACGATGAGAAGGAAGGCAGCAGGACTTCTTTGCAAAGTCATGCTTCGCATCTGGGGATTCCGCGAAAACTACAACCAATCTTCTAGGGTCATAAGACGACGACTTAAGAGTATATGAGGTTTCCAAAAATCAAGAGTTCATTTTTGGGAGTATGGGGCTCCATGTTGGGCCCCTGTTTTTGGAACTTCCACATGGGTGTATGGAGGAGCCTCTTTTGCGCACCCACCCCACAGCGAGCATGTCCTCTACATCACGGGAGGCATCGGCGTCTAGGCGATCAAGCTCGAAGATCTTTGCCTGAAAATAGGCCAGGCTCAAAATGCAGGTATTGTTTCGGGGGATCTCTCCCTCAACCTTTACATTCAAGCATCCCTACATCGCAACCTTAGACTCAAAGACTTTGAACGTCCCAAAGCCAAGATTCTGCCTGAACAGTAAACCATCCGCCTAGTTCCCGAGAGGTAGGTTCACCAGAAATATGCAGAATCTGTAAATCGGGCAGGGCATTATGAATGTGCAATACCCCGCCAGAAGGAAAGTTTGAGAACCCCAACATATTGCATCTTCTGCAGCCTAACATCAACGGGCAACGTTCAGAGAATTCCTAGTATGGGGCGCCAGAATCTGAGGAACTCCCCTCAACCCTGAACACGCAGCCCAAATCTGAGAAACCTTAACCCTCAAGCCTAAGTTTTGAGTTTAGGGAACCGAGTGGGCCCCCAAGAAACTCCTGCCTCAGGCACATCTTCGAAGGTGGTGTTGCCACCGCAATGGCGGTCCACCGTCATGATCAGCCTTACAGCTTGCGAGCTGAAGCTAAATATTGGGGCTATATGGGACACTGGAAAAAACAATGGAAACTTCTATTAGACTCCTTGAAACCAAGAAGTAACATGGGCTTTTACGGTTTCGTGAGGGACCTTATGGCTTTGAAGGTTTAGGGGCCTGGATTTACTTTGCAAAACCGCACGGCTACGTAGACCTTCATCATCTCTTGCCAAAAGACCTTCTAGAATCAGATACTCTTCTTATTTTGATGCGGAATCCAAGAGTTGCCTCCTTTTGGACTTCTGATCTGGAACTGGGGGGCCGTATCAACTGCCTGGTGCTTTACAGGGAACGGATCCGTCTGGTACTCCCTACGTAACCCACCATAAGGGTGTCTGACATTTGACCTCCACCTCTCGCGCAATGCGGGTGAAAGCTCACCCTATGCTGAGGGTGCTGCTTCTTCGGCTTCCGCCGCATCTCATACAGCATGACCTCTCAATCTTCATCCCTCCGGCACAGCCCCGAAACTGAATGAAGAGTCTCGTAAGCGTAGCGGGCTCAATTGTAAAGGTATAGTCTGGAGATTGTACCAGATGTAGGAATATGACTGTCTCACTATCCTTGATTTAACACATGTTGGGGGCTGTGCCTGACACTGGTCCCCTTGCTCTTTCTGCATATTACAATCTAAAGGTACCCTACATACCCCTCAAACCAATATATTGCCCAGCAAAAGATGACCAATCAACTTGAGCAATCCTCAAGCCAAAAACCAAAAACTCTGAATCTGAACCTGCTTAATTTGCAAAGGCTGGGCAGCAACATGCAAGCAACCATCCTGAGGAAATCTTGCACCACTTGCAATAACTATTGTGGTTACCACTATTGGGGGTACATAGGCTGGTGCGAGACCTCCATCTGCCAAAACATGAGATTTAGAGGAATGATGTTCAGCATTTTCTTAGATTCTGTCGGGGTTGGTGCAAGTTTGTGCTTTGTAGCTCCAAAGCAAACAGTCTCTCCTTCCGAAGAGCTTCACATGCTTGAGCTTGTTTTGATCAGAACTCCTTGCAAAAATGGCAACATCATTTCAACGAGTGCTAGGACTCTTGGCACTTCAACACTCTAGTAGCTGTACGTGTGCACGGAGAGCGAGTTGCTGAATTTCATTGAAAAAGGCGACTTGCCTCAAACCTCTGGAATACCAGGCCCTAAACCAACTTACCGTACATGTGCCCAAGCTCGCTCATCTTGCCTGAAACCTTCTTCTAAATCTGATCTTGGGAGCTTTGGAAGATCGGCTTAGCGGAGGAATCCGATGATCTTGGTATTTCCAAAACATTGGGGTCCTAGAGTTTAGGCTTCGGGGTTTAGGGTTGAGGTATAGGGACGACACAAGGATCACAGGGGTCCCTCCTGAGGGTTATAAATGCAGCAGCTTCCGCTGTCTTTTCCACGCACCCCCATATCCCCGTTTATCCCTCTCAACCATTTCTTAACTTAGAGTTTATTGCGGTGATTTTAAGATATTCCCATGTCACAGCATGCCCAAAGCGAACTTGGCCGCAGAGTGTGGTCGCCTGCGCCCCCTGGAAGCCATTCACCTTCTTGATGACCTGAAGCTGAAGAAGACAGCAAAAAAAAACAAGGCTCTCAAAATCACCCCAATACAATCGCCAGGAGGTCTTCCCATGTTGCCTTCAAAGTCCTCATGCTTTACAAGGTCCGGGAGGGTGCCAGAATTTCCATGGCCGCCCTTGACAGATCTGCGGGGAAGCGCATCAACATTTCAGGCTTCCTACGTGGAGGCTCACAAGACTATACCCCATCTATGGACATGGCGTAGTACACAACTTCGTGAGCCAAACATGCAAGGACAAGGCTGACATAATTTTAGTCTTGCTTTCGAAGATTTCTCAAAGGGCAGTAGGTAGATGGCAAGTTCTCAGGTGGCTCAGCCCTGCAACCCGTTTTGTACGTTCATTCCATCAAAAGTGTTTTCATGCGCATGCACGGCAGGCTTGTTGAAAACCAGGTCCCCGCAGAATGCGGTTCCTACTCCCCCAAGCTCCAAAACCAGGACAAACCTCTCTCGTCAAACCATGGGCTGCGTCATCAGAACACAGCCTGACTTCAAAAAGCCCTTGGTCTGTAGTCCCCCTTAGGTAGATAGAATATGATGGGGCATATGAGGATCTTACTATAATATACCCGAAGCCATATTCTATCTACTCAAGGGGCACTATAAATGGTGGAGCTTGCAAGGCTGAGGCGTCCCCAGGCTGCAGCGCATAGCTCATCTGGAACCCGTGGAGTTCGAATGCCTCCTGCGTTGCTGGGACAATTTTGGGACATCTTTGCTGGAAGTCTTGTGATGAACACCCTAAGGCATGGATTCCCAACCATAACTGTGGGCAACGCACAAAGATGTTCCGGCTGCTGCAACTTGCCATGACATTCCGCTGCAGCTGCGGATCCTAGTACCAGAGGCACTGCTACAACAACCATGCTGAACATACTTTTAATACTAATGCTATCACATCATGATGTTCTCCACTGTCCTGCTTCACGTTCCACTCATCCACAGGAGAACCAGGAACCACCTGCAGTCAGATGGGGTGCTTGGGTTGAAATCTGTCTTTTCCAATCCTCTTTACAGTCGATGTTGCGACCCTCAACACGTGTTGGAGGGACTATAGCATTGTTCGGTACCTGAGTGTCCGTATACAAGCAGAGGTTGGAGATTTGCACACTTTTGAAAGATTGTGTTGGCTGTCCTTGGAGCGCATGCTATGCTATCATCAGTGTTTGACTAGTTTTGCATAAGCTCGCTCATGTGCTTAGCTGCGTGTCGCCTACGTGAAATATTTCGGAGGGGAGCGGCAGGGCCAGAGAAGAAAGGAAAGCCGCCAAAGGAACACTCACTTTCCAAAATGGACCGTGCACATGCAATCCAAATCCCAACTCCAACCCCTTCATTTTTCCAATTCCCTTCCTTTCGCTTGTGCTGGCGGCCTGTCAATGTCATGCAAACTGACTTGGACAATTTTCAATGAATTCTGAAGAGGTCCCTGTACCATCCCAATCATCTTTACTGTATTCCCAGTTCTAGAGAACTCAATTCACATCACCTTTCAACTGAACCTCCAAGGAGCTCACGGAAGTACAGCCCTTCACTTCCTGATGCTTTGTTGGGAATTGGGGCATGGACCCCTTTAGAGTCAGGAGGACGATCTGTGCTACTATTTCTTTACAGCCCTGTCTTAGAACTGCCTCACACCAGGAACCCAACCTGAAGTTCGTCAGGCGTCTGCAAAAGGCAGCCATAGCCCTCATACAGACTTTCTGGACATTTTTGGATTTTTTCACGGTGCATCCTCCTGCGTATATAGGATCCCTTTGCAAGCAAAAGCATTTATTCAGAAGCTCCTTGTGCCGAGCAGGGCCTTGTCTACCATGAGCAGCTTCATGGAGGTGTCTGCCGGCTCGAGCACAAGGCCATCGGGGCCATCAACGCAAACCTGGCCGGTGACCTACTGGTGCTTAAGGGGGAGGGGGGGAGTGAATATGGGTACCGTAATTGGGGTATATATGGGGATTATATAGGGAAAGTTTTAGGGATCCTCTCCCCCATCCTCCCTTAAGCACCAGTAAGGTGAAGGGCAACTGGGAAATCATTTCCCCCAAAGCGCATCTTCCCCTGACATAACTCTCGGTTCTGTATAGTGATAGTCTCGTAGCGAGAATGCCAAGTGGGTAAATTTGAGCCGGAAAGGGTTCATATGAGCTACAATCTAAACTCCTAGTATCCCCCTAAATAACGCGTATACAGTACCCTATAGAAACCCCTTTAAGGAGTTTAGACTGTAGGCAAGATGTCCTCTCTCCCTCCGAGACCACTTCCGAACCTCCAAGAACCCTACGTTGGAGGGTCTGGGGTCTAGGGTCTCAGGGTGTTAGGGTTTAAGGCGGATGCCAAAAATCCTGCATGACCCTAAGTACCTCATACCTTGGAAACTATGGCTTTTGAGTATCCACCGTACTGCCATAGAACACCTAAGTAAGATCCTGCCACTCCGTGCAGAGACCCCTTTAACTAACCCTTTACACCCTAAACCCTAAACCCTCTATGCCCTGCATGCTAAACCCTCTACCCCATAAACCCTGCACACCCTAAACCCCCTCTGTCCGCACCTCCCTTCTGAGCCATCGCTCTGAGCACAGCAGGTCGCGAGGGCCAGGACCTTAGCCAGAATGTCTCGGTGGTTGCATGAGGCTTCGAATCGGATTCAGGATTTAACGTTTAGGGTCTAGGGAATAAGATTCAGGGTTTAACTTGTGTGGCTGAGCTTTAAGGGTTTGAGGGTTCAGGATTCGAGCTTGAGAGTTGAAAGAGAAAGTCGAAGGCTGGAGGGTAGCAGGTGGATTTTTTCCTCCAGCAAATGTGGATTAGGGTTCAGCAAATGCCCTCATTATGTCAGCCACCACAATGGTGATCACATCCTCTTTTTCCTTTTGAAGATGCAGAGATGGACTTCGCAATAGCATTTACCGTACATGTGAGACTTGGAGGTATCACTATAGGGACTAACGAGAGATCATTGAGATCCCTATACGAGAATAGATAAAACTTTTTGCGAAACTCCATACCAATTGACCACACGATATAGCTCAAGCTACAGTTTTCCCAGAACACAAAATATCTGCAGCAGAAGCATGCCAGTTCCAGTTCACTTTAATTGCCCCAGCCTCCATCCGGAGGCCAGAAGATACATAATGTCAAACGTTCCGCAGTGAGGCCTTGCAAGTCCTCTAGGCGCCATCCTACACTGCATTCACACCGCCATGTGTGCGCAATGTTCTGGGGCCACGGGCGCAGTGTTACCGGCACTGAAGCCCCAGGGACAAGCTGGCGAGCAAGCATGAGAAGAGTGCTTTGCTATGTTTTGAAATTTCTGAACCGCTTGGTTCTGTGTCGTCGGGCTCTGAATGCTCCTTGACTTTCGGAGTCCTTAACCCCTCGAAATCTCATAGGCTTTCCATTTCTTGCCACATCAGCATCTCGCCTTGATTTCAACAGCTTGCAAATGCGGCAAACCTTATTATATCACAGCAGGAACTGAGCTTTGAGCCTTTGATTCCTGTTGATCAACATGTACCATTCGTGCTCTCTCCTGTGAGACCAGAGAAGGGGTCCGCACAGGAGAACCCTTTGGAAAAAGGCCATAGCCTAGACCCTAATCCCCCAAACCCTATCCTCAAGCAGCCCAGGACCCAACAACAATACAGTCTTCAGCCATGATCTCTACGACTTCAACCAGCTTTCAACAGCACCAAGCTATGGCCCTACAACAAACATCCAGGAAATTCTAATGCTCAACCTTCATAAACCCTAAACCCTGCACCAAAAACCCTAAATCATAAATCCTTAACCCTGAGCCCAAAACCGTGCACTCTAAATCCTAAACCTCAAAGGCCAATGAATGCCTTGGACGGGCAAGCGAAGCGCGGTCTCTGGGACCAGTCGTCCTCTTCAGGATCCTGGTGGTACGCTGAGAACTTTGATTTAGGTCTAGGGGATTTGTGCGTTGCGTTTTCATCATCTAGAATTCGGGTTGGAAACAACAACTTGTAAAATAATGGCGGAAGGACAACTATGGTTGCAGTCGTACCATCATTGTGTCGATGATCATGCCCGCACCTTCTGTACTCCAAGTATATGTACAACTATGTGCTGGTTTCTGCTAATCATTTTGTGACAGATGTTGCTTTCTACTACAATGTTGATGCACATAACGAGCACGATTTTATCCTTCCTGGCTTAGCTGGCTCTTCTTCTCGGGGTGGAGCATGGCATGTCTGCAAGCAGCGTTGCCCCCTACGTTTTGTGTTCTGCAAACACATTATGCTGGAAAGGCAGCAAGCAGTTGATTCCACGCCTCAGAGCCCGAGGCCAACACTATCTCAAGAAAAGAAGAAAAACACTAAATGTCACTAAGTAACCGTACATAACCCCTATGATACGCTCACATTAATCTAGATGACCCCTTGAGTACCCGGGCACACAAGCATCCCCAACGACAATCGTCCGTGCAATTATGGCAAGTTACGCTAAGCCGAACAGAATTTGCACACAACGCCCTATACTAGGTTCTACATTCTTTCCCATCCCTGTATCTTAAATCCTAAATCCAAAGCCCTGAACCCCAAAACCCTAAAGCCTTAACCCTGCCACTCCGAAACTCGGCAGGTCCAGACCCAGCACGGCATCGCTGACTTTGGCGGAGGCAGAGATGCTAACCGCCCTGTCCATGCACAAGGATCTGGGGGTTTCCTAAAGTAAGCGGTACCTTTTTATTGGCACCCATAATCAATGTTACAGTACATTGGGCTACATTAGGCTCCCCTTCTGTTGGGAAACAACCATGTTCAGAGCAGGGTGGAACCATGGATGGGGTAACGGCGTCACAATCAATGGCATTGCAGTGCGTGCCGGGTCTGCTTTTTTCCGGGAGGGGTAGGTATTCATGACATCTGCCAGGACCCTCAGATGGTAACAGCAATCAAGTTACAGGTGTAAACCCCAGCAAGGATGTCTAGGTGCTCTCGTGCAAAATGGCCCCGCAGGAATTGAACTGTGGACCAGGTCAAAGGTACAGTAAGATGCTCCCCCACATGAACACCCCAAAAACATACATTCCCCAATATCACTGAGGAAGCCTCACCACCGCATAAACTCCTGCAACCAAACAAGGAAACCCCCAAAGCGGCCCTTGAAAAGGCTTGTCATATCAGCATCCATGTGATGGAAAGAAAGCGTGCCTCGACAGCTCCGAGAAAGCTGACCACCCGCGGTCGGTTAGCACCGCAATGCCTGAAGAGCAAGTGGTAACTGGCTAATTTCATGCAGCTTCAAATCTGAAATGAAACCCTTGGGGAATTCATCTTTGTAAGCTGCCATGTTAGTTAGGTGAGGCCATCTGATGACAATACCTGCAACTGAATCGAGTTCTATGGACGTCGATGGCATCGTGTCTATTCTACCATACTCCAGATGCTAAACCAATGTCAAGCCCCCTTCACACCCCCTCCCCACCTAAGCCCTAAACCCCAAACCCCAAGCCCTAAACCCCTAAACCCCTAAAACCTAAACCCCAGACCCCCAACCCTAAACCCTAAAATCCCCAAACCCTTTAGATGTCCCATGCCGAGCTCATTGCACGCTGCGTATGGCCGACCGTAGGCCAGGCCTTCAGACCTGGCAAAGCCCCACATCTGAGCTATAATCTAAAGTCCTCGTATAAATACAGAGTTTAGGGTTTGGGGTCTAAACCCCTAGTATCCCCCTCAATGACCCCATAGTAGTCCCCTATATAATCACCCATATAACCCCTTGTGGTCATAGTATTCATAATAATAATGATGATGGTATACCCCTCATGCTTGGTACGGCCCCAACCCCAGTAACAGCTAGGCTGTGATGGTACCATAGTTGGGTTAGGGTTTAGGGTTTAGGAAGCATGATCTTTCCTTTGATCGGCCCACTAAATCTGAAAAGCATATCAACAACGACCTAGTCATGAAATCATGCAGGATATTTGGGTATGTGCACGCGGATTTCGAAAATCATGTTTCTGGACATGTTGCTTGTTTTGGTTCTGCACTTGCATACCTCAATACTAGACCCCTGAAGCTCAAACCCAACGCCGGCTCCTTGTCTTGGACCAATCTACTCCCACGAACCAAGTAAGGCTTCAGTAAAAATTCCCGGTGAAATTCCAGCACATGCTGGGCAGCACAGGTACCAGCGCCTCTCCATTACTCAGTCAGCCCCAGCCATGCTTTTGCTGTCGCACGCACCCTGTCAAAACCCTAACATGCCCAAGCAACACGTAGATGGTGCAGAGGTCTGGCTTAGCCACGGCCACATCTGCACCCTCTAGCGCCAGGGACCTGCCATCTGCAGTTTGCTTCCTAAGGAGCTTACGAAGCCACATGTAATCTATCACATTTCTGATAGACAATGGCACGCTTTAGAAACTTGAAATCCTAAACCATGAGCTGTGAGAGTTCGGCTTCAAGTCAGAAGTTGTCAAGGTGTCGGCTTAACTCTAGGCTGACCTTCGGAATCCGCGCCTTTGCATAATGTATATGGCGCGTTTCTCTGAGCCCTTTCTTCCCCTTAACTTCTTGTAGACTCAAAGAAGATAGGAAGATCAGGTCACCTCCCAGCTGAATTGAAGAAGGAAGGTCGGGGTATAGGAAATAAGCCCCAATATCTAGGGGTTATATAGGGATATATTGGGTTCATATAGGTATAATGGAAAAGAAAATGGAAACTATTACTTTGGGGTTCAGGGTATAGGAATGGAAGCAGACCCAAGGAATTGCCCAGCAGTGCTGTCACCCTTGTCCAAAAGTCGCTTCCCACTTCAAGGAAGGCATATAATTCCCCTTCGGTAGATAGAACATGGGGTAATTATATGGGGATCTTACTGTGATTTTGGGAAGTCCATATTCTATCTACTTAACGGGGATACAAACATACCCCACTTACCCAGGCCTCTCGAGTCTATGGATCATGTCGCAAAGATTTGGGAGCCTAGAAGTCATCCCTATCCCAGAGGCGAATGCCTCCAAACCTCTTCAACTTCCTATTTCTAGGGGCCTGCAGAGATAGTCTGCTTCAAGAAAACCCCTTCAATTCCCACGTAGGTCAGTCACAGGTCCACGCCTTGCTACGTAGGTCACACCATCTACTATCAGCCTCGGCCACGTAAGAGCTTGACACTAGGGCTCTTGGATCGCTGGATTTGAAGCTTTGCCATGGACCAAGGAGGGAAAGGGAAGCAATTGTCAGGAGCCCCTCAAGTTCAAGGCTTGCGTGGAGAGCAGCGAAGAGCTGTTTGGGTGCGCAGTCTTGCCTCTAGTCTATCGCGTGCCGCGTAGGTGACGCCTGCAGTAAATCCTGAAAACAGCGCAGTGGCCCACCCGGGATATCACATGTCCCCACAAACTGTGCGATCCGCGACTGGAGCGACGTAAAAACTTCAGTGGGCGCCCATGCCCATGCACTTTGCTGGTTTGGATCATGAAGACAGCAAATGCAACTGAAAACTAAGCAAACTTCAAAAAGTGCCGGTATTCCATTTTTCCAGGGTTTACTCACTGAGCCCCAAGGAGTTTGAGGCTGAGCCGCTTGCCTTGACCCTATGGACCCTGAACCCCTAAATTCTACTTGGAGGCCCTTGGGACTCAGTAACCACTTATACCTGCGATTATACCCCTATGTGGGGTAACCCCTTAAAGCTTAGGGGGATTATAAGGTCGGGTTATAAGCCCAGTTATAAGTGGTTACCCATGGGCCTCCAAGTAAAACCCTCAGTCACCTCAGGCTCACACCAAATTTCGTGGTCCATGTCCACGACAGCAATCGCCCATCCCCAGACCTGCTCTATGCCAGTAACCAAGTCCTTATAGGGGGATCATATAGGGGATGATATAGGGGAGTATTATAGGGATTTAGGATTTAGGGTAGGGTTTAGGGCTTACATCGCATTGAGCATCACATGATGCACCGGGAGACCTAGACCGTCCTAGGCCGACATCCAAACAAGTTGGCAGCGTGAGCGCATGATCCAAATTTGTGAGGCTCCAGAACGTTTAGGGTTTTAGGGAAAAGAGTTTCAGGGTTAAGGGTTTTAGGGTTAAGGGTTTAGGGTTGTAGGGCCCCTCTCCCCCAAGAGTCTTTAAGCTGTTCCTATCCAAAGTTCCTATGATGCCGAATAGTCAGACGCACAGCACTCTTGCTTCTCTTCTGACTTGTCAGTCGCTTCAGTTGCGATTCATGCTGGATCCTTCTAAACGTAATGCAAACATCAAGCATGAGGCAATGACTTGATATTGCAGCTGGGGCGATTGGGCGTAGGAAGCTCAGGAAGTTTACACTAATGGTTTGAAAGCTTGCGGCCATGCTATTGGATGCTGCTTTCTCAGCTTCTCAACCAAGGGTCCAGGGTTCGGCATCCCCACATGATCCTTGTGAAGCTCATGACAAATGCGAATCCTGAACCTGAAGTCCTAAAGTTCTCCAAAGAGGTCTAGCCCTGATGGAACCCCAGGGAGGTAATAAACCCTAAGCCCTAAACCCTAAACTTTAAACCCTAAATCCTAAACCCTAAACCATAAGCCCTAAGCCCTAAACTTTAAATCCTAAATCCTAAACCCTAAGCCCTAAACCCCAAACCCTGCACCGCTCCGGCAGGCCTGCTTGTAAGGCTCGAAGGCTCCCGGGTGATCCCACGAGATGACAAGTGCGGACTGGGTGTCCCAAACCTGGATGTGCCAAAGCTGACAGCCCCACTTAGACTTGCTTAGTGGGGTTTAGTAGGGAACAAGGGAATACATTATATAGGGGTTATACAGGGATTATATTCCCTGACTCCCTACTAGCCCACAGTAAGATTGAGTTTAGGGTTTCTCAGGGTTTAGGCATGAAAGTTTTGGCGTAGGGCTCATACGCAAGCGAAATTTTAATACATCAGGTTTCGCAAGCATCCATCTCAAGAAGATACAAGGACTACATCGTAGGTTGCCTGACTTTGAAGATCGCAGTATTCACAGATTTTTGCAAGGAACTTCACATGCGGATTGATTTTGCATGGCCGTATGCGACTTCATCGAAAACTTTGAATTTGAACGGGCGGTCTCGAAATTCAAGGATTGCAGGGATCTTGCAGAAACGCCAATGTCGAAGAGGAAGGTGACTTATTGGGGGTCATTATGTTGCCGTATGCCTTATGCTGAAACAAGAAACAAACATCTTATGGACGCATCTTACTCCACAAGGTGTGTAGGTGCTAGTTGTAGGCTTTCAGCTGGCTCGTCTTTGGGCCGAGAACTTCTTAGTGCAAGGTGCAACCAGGGTTAGGGCTTGGGTCCTCCGGCTGAAGCCCTAAACTCCACCCTGCCTCAACACCCCCTTCAACCCCCGTCCAAGATCCCCGCAAAAGCCCACCAACATACCCCCAAGATAACCCCAAGATCCCCTCAACAAAATCCTACACCAGGAGCTTCGGCTTCATCCTCGAATCCTCAACCCCATGCTCAGTTCCCAAACATGCTGGCTACCCCCCCAACAGGCCAAAGCCCAAGCCTCTAGTCTTGGTCTCATTGGGGCTGCGGGACGCGCTGTCGGCCGCATAAACCTCAGGAAGCTTGGGGACTTTCTCAGAACAAGGGTACTCTTGGGGGGTATGGGCATAGGGATCCAGGTTATGGGAACCCCAATATAGAGCACAAAATACTATAGTCCTTATTATGGGGACGCCCCAAAAGGTGTCCCTACTTTCGGGAAGCCCCCATATGGAAGCTTAGGGAATAAGGGTTAGGGTCTCTCAAAAGAATGTTTAGAAACTCCAATGTGGGAGCTTCCCAAAGATACTGGTCTCTTTTGACATCCACATCACAGATACCGATCAACCCCTCGGGACCTGAACCCTAGCGACCCTGGGGGTACTCTGGCCTTTGCCTTTGCTGTTAAACTAATTCAAATCCTGATTCTGCCTCTCTCTATAATAAGTGCACCTCACTTTGACCCATGGCTAGCCCTTGCATATGTGGAGTCTATCATTTTCTTCCTATCCCTCCGACCTTCCCTCCTCCGCCAAGCCACTCCAAGACCAAACGTCTCTCGAGACCCGGCTTCTCTGCTTCTGCCAGATTTGCTGCCTGGCACGCTCCACTTGGAGGTCCATTGATAATTATGAAGCACTTTTGATTCTACGCTTAACCCAATGAAAAGCCCCAACCCCAAGTATGTCCCCTAATATAATGCTCTGTTGCAAAGGGGCAATCGACCGGGCAGGGAGTGCATAAACTAGGGAGTATTTCAACTTCCACTAAACCTCAATAAACGGGGCCACGATCCCTTGGGCTGCCACTAGAATCGGAAATATCCCGCCCCAAAGTAGAGGCAATTTCTGAGAGCCTGAAGGGTCTCAACAAACCTTTCTGACATTTAGGGATGGGCTCCGGTGTACGTAATATCAGAGTGCATATTGCAGGTTGCAAGATGCCCTGGCTTGGGTTGGTTCATATGAATGAGCGCATCCCAGTATGGAACGTCACGGTACATAACATCATGCAAGCAAGTGTTGCGCCTGCCTCCTCACAGAGGGCTGGGTATGTGTCAGACGTAAGTCAGCGCGACTCTGCGACTAACTCTGCAACACAAACGGATGCTGAGGCTTAGCTCATTCACACTCAGCATCATCCCTGCTCTCATTTCACAGTCATGGACACGAAGCCCTGAGGATCCCCAAGTACATTGCATTGTGACCAATTCCCGACGCGTGAACTAAACACGAAAAAAATCCTAAGGCCCTCATCGCGCCTGCTCGCTGTCGCAGAGACACACCTGGGCACTGGCAGATGCTAAGGAGGAAAGTGGGACTTCTAGGGAAATTTGCCCAAAAAAGCCAGAACACACGAACTTTGTTGAAAGCATAAAGACATAAGGTGGTGCCTTTTTGCGCCACTATGCCTCATCCTGAATCCCCGACTGACACTCTTCACGTCGTCTTGCGAAGGAATGTCTCAGTTCTTGTTCAAAGGCAGAGCGTCTGAGAAAAAAATCTCGTCTTGATGCTTCCTTTTTTCCACTGCAAACAGAGGAATCCCAACAGACATGAAGTGCTAAAGTTGTAGTAAAGTTCCACCAAATTGTCCCAGGCATATTCAATTCAGACCATTCTATTCTGGAATTTCAGATCGCTGCCCGACAGCCGAGACAAAGTGACTCACTTCATGATAATACACAGAAGGCGAGGAAGTGGAAAGGTGGACAACGGATCTAGTACAACAACTGGCAGAGACCATCCAAACAACTAGGCCAAATGACGCTGTTGATGGCCGAAATCCTGCATGAATCTAGGTATACTCTGCCATAGTTCCACGGGTTAGGGATCTACGCTAATGCAGGATTGCGCCGCTCATCAGCAGATACACACCCCACCTCCTGCTCGTAGTATGCCCAACGACCATCGGTTTTGATCAAGCGGTCACCTCCGAACACGCATCGAAATTACTTACCCCCCTTCTGTCCCACATCGGGGACTCCTCACTATACGATCTAAGGAACTTGTTTAACATGACATCCGGGGTCAACAAAAACACGCACTTCAAACGCTGTAGGGGATCTCTTCTACCCACGGCCGTTCATTGCGGTTTGCATGCAAATGCATGCAAACACAAAGCAGGGCCCCCTCCAGAATGATCAATCCCAGCGTGACACTTACTGTCACTGTGCGTTCCTTCACGTTCTCTGCCAGAGCTGTGACTGCGACATGCGCGCATCCTCTTAGTATTTGGTATTTCCCTGATGAAAGGGACGTCAATGATATAGATCATCTCAATCCCTTTGAAAGGAACCCTGAGAGGTCCTTCTAATTTCGGGAAACCTCCATTTAACCGCTTCCCAGCTTCAAGGCGTAGGACGTCTCGCGTCCTCAGACTCTCGCGCAACATATAACGTTTCCCAAGCCAAATCAGGTAACATTTTTTGGGGTCTACATGATTGGGGTTCCCCGCCTATTTATGGAAACTACCACATTTCAATCACCGCTCTCTGGCATCTAAACGCAAAAAGGGAACTAAACTTCGTATACTCGCCTATTTGATTCAACACGCACTTCGCCCCTGCTCGACTCACATCCGAGTAGGCTTGTCTTCTTTACTGTTTGCCAGGAATGAGGGAAGGGATCAGGATAGCAGTCCCTACAGTACTGTCGCCTCTATTCGTCCCCATATCCTATTTCCTCCTGCCATCCTCACCGCCAGTCAGGGAAGGAGGATACTGTAGGGTATAGTGAGCAGCTATCCTCGATCTACAAAATCCAGTGACCATGGTAAGACTTATAAAGCACCGACTTTCTTAGAAAATCCTCCTTCTAGTAATACAAATGACCTCACACTACTCCAAAATAAAGGGGATGCTCAACCTTCACTCAGCATTGACTGGCTTGCTGCTACGGAACTTAGATTTACTGTTACAAAGAAACCCTAATATGTACTGTATATCCATAATATGGTGAATCAATGCAAATTCCTTGGCAGCAACCTAGCTGAATGAAGGTAGATTCAATAGAATAAGGAAACCCTATTATTTACTCTATTTATACCCATAGTACGGTAACTTAATTAAAGTTCCTGAGTGGCAACAAAGTTGAAAGAAGCTGCCAGGGCCTGGTTGAACTACGAGGTCGGGTCGACCGATCACCTGCTGCCAGACCTTCCGAAAGCCCAAGCGAAACCACGCTTTAGCAAGGCTTTGGATTTAGAGTCCCCCTTAAGTAGATGGAATATGGTTTTGGTATATTATAATCAGAACCCCCATATACCCCATATTCTATCTACTTAAGGGGGACTATTGAGGTTTGTTTGCTGAAAAACCAAAATAAAACACAGCAGTTAGGGCCTCGGGGTGAGGGCTCAAGAATTTACCCTCAACCCTAAACTGCTAGTGCTTCTGAACTTGAGGCGGTTCTCTCAAACGCTTGCGCAGCGGCAGTTGTGGGTGTGGGCTTGCACACGCCCTGTAAACATTGGACGTCTGCAAGTTTTGGTTGCCATTTATGTGATCTAATTTGCGAAAGAGATGGCTCCACCACAGGCACAACTCCCAGTCAATTTGCAGAAATTGCCTTCTGATCTGCCAAGTGAATTCCGATATCGAACATCATTGCTGTCCCGCTGAGACAAACCAGTGGTCTACATTCGCGACTATGAAGCCTCTGTGCTCTTCGTTTGGGGAATCGACTGTCCGCAGATATTCCTACATGTGCTGAGGCAGTGGCGTTCCATCGGCCCAGGGGCGACTTTGGATGGATATCCCGTACGACTCGGGCGCCCGTGTCATCGAAGGGCCTTAAGTCACATACGCGTAGAGCCATGGAATATTCAAGAATTTGTAAATCTGCATATGCAAATTTCACGTCGCGTGGGTGGTGGATCATGTACGAATCAAATGGGATTGTAGGATTGCTGTGAGAGAAGTTCCTTATTGTCATAGCGGTTCTGCACAATGTCCTGGCCTCGTGGGCATTACTGTTCTAATCGACCCTCGCAGACATGGGTAGGCCAAGGTACTGGAAATGAACTATTGCAATCATCTTCAGAATATACCGAAGCGCCGGCTGGAACAGTGCGAGTGCCAGTGCTTGGGTCCTTGTCGCAGTACAACACGCAACCCAAAATCCCAGGGAAGACGAGATTGTTGTGCCTGCATCGAATGCATTTACATGGACATTAAACCTAACACATCTCAAAGGACAGTGTTCCTCCGAACGCCCAAAGGCAAGCTCCGGACTTCAGCGGATCGAAACTCCACACCGGAGTTTCCAAAAAATAGGGGTCCCCCTGTATACTTCGGCTTACAAGATGATCCGAACTGTAAGGAGCTCTCCCCCCAAAATCCTAACTCATGGGAACCTCCCACATGTCTCTAGGCACCCGGCTCTTCGTGCCACTCGTAGCCCCAAGGGACCAGGACACTTGGGCGTGTGAGCACCACGCGGAAGGCCCGCCTCGATCCGTAGGTTTCTTATCGGTTTAGCGTTTAGGGTTTAAAGTCCTTTTACAAGGTTTAGGGTTTAGGATCTTACCAGAGGGTTTAGGATTTAGGGTCACAGAGCTTAGGGTTTAGGGTCTTATTACAGGACTTAGGATTTACGGTCATAGAGTTTAGGATTTACAGTCTTATTATGGGGTTTAGGGTTTTAGGGCTTAAGGTCTTACTATCGGGATCATTACAGGGATCAATGTTGTAAGGCACTCCATGGTGATCATTATAGGGAACCATTATAGGGGATTTCGTGGGGATTATGGGGATCGCTGCCAACGCTACCCCTTGAGCACTAGTAAGGTTGATGTTTAGAGCTTACTTGGGGTTTCATAGAGCTGCTAACCGATTTGGAGGTCTTGAGTTAAGGTATAGAGCATAGAGTTGGAGGTTTTGAGAAGGGATTATGAAGCTTACTTGGATTCTGGACAGTTGTTTCGAGGAACTCTCGCATCACATCAGGAACTACCTCCACAACCCCCTTAGATGACATGCTGCACCTCACCTTAATCTGGGACCACCTCAGTTGGATTTCAGAAGCTTCTGCGCTTATGATCCGCCTACACACGTATGCATCATGATCAACCTCAACTGCAAACACTTTATACCGTAAGTCCTTGTTTTGATCCCTGAGCCTCACCTAAACTGCAACCCTGACCTGGATCATAAGACTGCAACGCCCCAGCTGGAGATGACACATGCTCCGAATGGTATGCCAGGAATGAGGAGTGTAGTTACGATTGGGGAGGGTTCCATGCAGCCTTGGGGAATGGACTAGGCCAAGTAAGCTTAGTGACTTACTCCTGAACCCTCACCTCTCAAAGCCACGGTTTCTGTAAGCCCCCAACATGAAGTTGGTGACTGCGCCGGGTGGTGCCCTGGCGTTCCTGCCATCGGAAATCATCACTGCCAATACCCGCCCTAAAGCCAGGTTAAGAAACGGACGTCTGACTGCTCATTGTTATTCCGGACCTCCTTGCTTCGTACCGCACAACAATATCTCTTCTTGTTTACTGGGAAATTCACTGTTTCCTCAAATCAGCCGGGAAGCATTCTTGGTTTGTTCATTTGTTCAAGGAAAGGAATACTGTAGCACATGTTGACTTGGCAAGTCTAGGGTAAGGTTTGGTGTGCATCGCTACTGGATCTATCGAGCATGTGCACTGCAAAAAGGAGCGAAGGTTTTTTTGGGGATGTTTCAAAGTTGTGGATCTGGCTTGAGTCACAATGAGCGTCTTGTTTTGGGCCGTAGCAAGAAAGCAATCAGCAGAAATTCCTTTTAATAGCCCGCATGAGGCATGTCTACCTTCCTCCCGCCGTCTCTCCCTCAACGGCTGACTTAGAGGACTTGAAACATCAGAATCCAATGGTAGGCCGGCAGCTTCAGAATGGCTTTCATCTGACTTTGCCCCTGCGCTTGGCTTGTAGAAGTGCAACGCTCAGCACAACATTGCTAGATTCGAGCCTGTATTACTGCCACTTCTTTACCAAGCGACAAGACTAGAAAAGTCATTAAACGACCTCCCGAACAGCGGAAAAGGCTACCTTCAGCACGAGCTGATACACTGCCCTGAGCTTTGCGAGAGGATAGCCCTGCATCTACATTGACGGCTTTGGAGCTTGCCTCCGTGTACCTGAGCCTTGGTCAATAACAATCCTCACAGGAACCATAGTCTCTCTTAATCCATCCCAGCATACGAAGACGTCTATTTTTGCGCATGGTGCAGTCAAACGAGGGAAGCTGCCTGGAGGCTTGGCCTCCACAGCCACGTACTTCACAGGGTCTGAATCACCAGGACAAACAATGATGAAATCAATATGAAATTCTCTGTCGTGGCCGGTACAACGCAAGCAGCTATTCTGGCATGCCCAGTTGCCCTTCCTATCATTGTCTCGGCCTTGAACAGTCTTCTTTGAAACACTGCGGCAAAAACATTCCAAGCATCCCATGTTATGAAAGATGTGAGCATGAATAATTACCGACAACATGTTGAAGTCTATCTGAAGTACAAGCACCACGTCTATACAAGGACTCTAGGACCATGCTGTTGGTAATTATTCAAAGTCCTAAAAAAAGTCACTTAAGCTGCAACATCAGTGCTTCAGACCCCTAACCCTAAACCCTAAATCCTAAACACCCAACCCTAAATCTGAAACCCCAAGCCCTACTTACTTAAGCTCCCACATTGTTTCTTCAGACCCTTCCCAACTTCACTTCTCCGCGCCAAACCCTTTGGGTTGACAGGCACGAGCCAGCCAGTGACCACCGCCTAACACCGCCATGGTCACGCAGCCGGACCTTGGGCCCATACTTTAGAGTTTAGGATTCAGGGTTTATGATTCTAGAGTTTAGGATTCAGGGTCTAGGGATTGAGGTCATAAGAGTGTTAGTCAGAAAAGCGTAAGTAATATTGATAATAATTAGGTGCTAGGTTTTAGGGTACTTATGCCATACTTATCTGGGTTGCTGATAAGGAGCTTAACTTAAGCTGCCATAAAATGGGTAGCTCAACAGCAATCCAGCTATGGGTCCTGCTCACATCCACTTTTCGCTTCGTAACCGAACTTTTCTGGGGCTACGGCGTGGGGTTAAGGTTTGTAGGGGCGGTTGATGATTTGGGCTGCAGGACAAATTGTGCCACAAAGCTGCAACGAAGTAATCCCGAAACAGGATCAGAGTTTGTTCATAGCAGCGGTGCTCAGAGATATCACGGATAATTTGCAAGAAATGGCGACCGATGCGGTTTTTGTGCGGCATGCATAGAACCAAAAACAAGAAGCACATCAGAGAACTAAACCAACACTCAAAGTTTGAGAGTTTCTGAAAGTCAGGTGGGTTTAGGGTTTTAGGGTTTAGGGGTTGGTCCTCTACATGAGCTATCATAGTCGCACCTTTGAGGCTTCACGTTTTGAGCTCCCAGGTTTGAAATCATTAAGACCCAGGGGCACAAGCAGCCACACTGCAGCCATCCAAAGATCAGCACGACAGGTGGTCTGAGCAATAATACCTGCAAGCAAAAATGAAACGATCTGGGATTAACATGTAGGGAATAACCATTATCAAAACAATCCCTGGGCTCCCACGTACCTGGTTCCCATAACGATATGGAACGAACCAAGAAAAGGTATACAGGAGCCTCTCAGTAGCTAGCGTCTGATGTCGGAAGTAAGGCCTCGTTGTAAATTGCACTGCAGGTTCGGCCTCTAGGCTTCTGGGCCAATGAGTAGCTGCCGGGTGGTGTCATGGGTCTGTATGACACACCTTCCCAAATATCTAAGAAAACACATTGTCATTGATCATTCGCTGTTCTATTTATTGTTTTTCCAATGATGATGGGATCCTTTTGCTGGCCCTGCCGAGCCGATGCAGCCCTGACAAGTCTCCAACTTTTCATGCCATGTTTGCTGCCCAGACCCCTTGGAGGGTCTTGAAAATAGATCTCCCAGATAAGCCCCCCCCAAAAAACCCTATACAGGAATTCTGGGGCATTCAACTTTTAGATCCTGTTGGGGGTCTGGGTAGGCAGGGGGAGAGGGCCAGTTCAACAGTACAAGCAAAGGTCAATATGAGGGTTCAAATTTTCTTCTCTATTTCCACCTTGCAGGACGAAATGCAAAGTCCTCAAATCCCCCATCGCTAACCCCTGAGCCTCTGAAACTCCTTCCTCAAACCCCCAGAAACACAAACCTTGTGAGATTGGTTCTGCTGGCCTCCAAGCATGAACCAGAGGTATGTGAACAGATACAGCACAAACGTCTGCAAGTAGTCCTGCCGCGGTCAGAAAATGCTTGCAATTACAGCAAGCCATAGGCAGTTGACGAAATTTGCGAACCATAAGCTTGCAACTGTCAGGATTACAGCGAATCAGCACCAGGAGAATTGAGGCTGACTTGTCACTCAACACTGTAAACCCTGTACACGTGGGTTTTGTGTTTGCCCGACAATTCAGAGTACCATTTATGAGGCGTGGGATTCAGGTTGCAGGATTTCGATTCAATAGGCTTCGGTTTGCCGGTTGTGCACCCTACCAGGATGTCTTGGCAGCAGCGGATAACACTTCAGTACTGCCCCCCCCTCAGTAACAGTTGGAAAATCCGTATAATATGGTTATATATAGCCCTTAATAGGACCCCTAATATAGACTGTCACTGAGTGGGGGCAGTACCCAAGATAACACCTAAGTTCACTCCCCTGCGCCTCCCTACACAGCAGCAAATACTACTCATGGACTCATTGCTATCATCCAACCCCAATATACTCTACAGCTTTACAATGCACTGACTCATCCACTGCTTTCGTTAAGAGTAATGCATAGACTAGCAAGTCTTTGAGGGTCACCCCTGAACCCTAAACTAAGCCCTAAACCCGAAAACCCTGGACCCTACGCCCCAATCCCTAAGCCCTAACCCCCAGAGGCCTTAACCCTAATCCCTAAACGCTAGCCTAAGCCCTAAACACTAAACCCGAAGCCCTAAACCCGAAACCCTAGCCTAAGCCGTAAGCCTTAAGCCTAAACCCTAATCCCTAAGCCGCAGGGCATCCCGGTCCAGCCAACCAGTCCACCAAGGTTCGGCGAAGCGTTCTACGAGGTAAAAGCTAAGCCTCAGGGCAGAAGCGCTACTGATGCTTAAGGGGGGTTGGGGGAGTGAACATGGGTACCATTACAGGGATATATATATATATATGTATATACATATAAAGGGTTTATTGTAGGGATCCACTCCCGCACTCTCCCTTCGGCATCAGTATGAAACTCAAAGCTGCTTTCTACTTGATGTTGGCCAGGTTGGTTTTGTCCTCGAATGTTGCATTCAAAAGGCTTCATTTTCCTTGCCGGAAATTAAAGGCTTTACGCTGAGGCTTACTGTGCAGGTCGATAGGGTAAGGTTCAGGACTGGGATCTTAGGCGTACGGTTTAAAGCGTAAGGATTTCAACTACGGGGGCCTCAGAAGGGGGAGCTTGTCGAATTTGCCTTCCTGGCCCGTGGTGCAAGAGAGAGACCTGAGCATGATTCAGCTTCGGGGTGATGTGTAACGCCCCAACCCGAACCTTGAACCCTCACCTCCAATCCATACCCAAGATCCAGAACTGCAATCCCTTACCCCACTCCCTACTCAGTCTCATAGGTAGATTATTGATGTTGCATGTTCCATTAACTAAGCGAAACATTTCCAGATCTCCCATGAACCCCCCAACTATGACTGTTGATAGAAACAATCCAGCATGACCTTAATATATTAAGTATAAAACCATTATTCCCAAGGTATAAGGTACTTACGGACATGCAGATTTTAGTGTCCACCCTAAACCCCCCCTAAACCCTAAACCCTTGATCCTACACCCTTAACCCTGAACCCTAAAACCACTATATCCCCCTGGGGCTCTGACCTCAAAGTTGCTACAAACCAGAAGATCTGTAAGCCGAGGCCGAAGCCTCGGGCGGCTCTCTTCAGGTTCGGGGTTTTGAAGGTTTTTGGATTCGAGGGCTTTGGATTTTAGGGCTTGGGGTTTTAAAGGGTTTTGGATTCGAGGGTTTAGGGTTTAAAAGGGTTTTGGATTCCGGGTTTGGGGGTTTAGGGTTTAGGGTTCGGGGCTTCGGTTTTGGATTCAGGGTTCAGGGCTTCAGGATCAGAATTTGGGTTCAAGATTTCGGTTCAGAGCTTTGGGGTCTTGATCGTGATACATGCTGCTTTAGAAGGATAATACCGTCTTCCACTTTAGAATCTGAACACCTTCCTAAAGGACGCTTCTCCCTGGCGTACGGTAATATCAGATGATGTGTATTCACTCTACCAAGAAAAAATGGCTTTGCTTTCGCAAAGATGGCTCATGCTTTCCCTTCCCAGTTGGGATCTACAGAGCCCTAAACCCTCTTTCTCTTGGGATCTAAGGTTTCAGGCGC